TTTTACTGTAGTTTTAAAGCTAGGTCCCAATTCTTTGTAATCACAATCAACAAAAATTCATACTAGAATAATGCAGTGATTTGGAAAAAAATCCAATTTAGTTGTGTAACTATATCTGCTTGGGAATTAGCTTGATCATTTGGAATGATTTATCACTTGTGTAAACTGCTGTGAGTAATATGCCATTCAGTTGCTTTGAAGTTTTAATAAAGGGTGAGTAACTATTGGGAACAATTTGAAAGTTGTTTAGTTGATATAACAATTTTGCTTCTGTGTGGGATTAAATAATATCTTTTTAATTTGCTTGAGATTTCTGTAACCTGTGGTTACAGGTGTTCATAGAATCATAGAAGGCTTAAGGTTGGAAGGGACCTCTAGAGATCATCTAGTCCAACCCCCCTGCACACACAGGGTCRCCTAGACCATGTGGCACAGGGCTGCGTCCAAGCGGATTTTAAAGATTCCAAAGAAGGAGACTCCMAAACCTCTCTGGACAGCCTATTCCAGGGCTCTGTCACCCTCACTGTCAAGAAATGTTTCCTTAAGTCCCCGTGGAACTTCTGATGCTTCAGTTTGTAGCCATTTCCTCTAGTCCTGTCGCTGGCCACCACTGAAAAGAGGCYGGCCCCTCCTCCTCACTGCCTCCCTTGAGGTATTTRTAGACACTGATGAGGTCCCCCCTCAGCCTCCTCTTCTCCAGGCTGAACAGGCCCAGYTCCCTCAGCCTTTGCTCACAGGGCAGATGTTCCAGGCCCCTGATCATCCTGGTAGCCCTGYGCTGGACTCTCTCCAGCAGCTCCACATCCCTCTTGTCCTGGGGAGCCCAGAGCTGGGCACAGTCTCCAGATGTGGCCTCACCAGGGCTGTGTATAGGGGGACGATCCCCTCCCTCGACCTACTGGAGAYGCTCTTCTTAATGCACCCAGGATCCCATTGGCCTTCTTGGCCACCAGGGCACACTGCTGCCTCATGATCATCTTGTCRTCCACCATGACACCCAGGTCYCTYTCTGTGGGGCTACTCTCCAGCAGGTCAACCCCTAATCTGTACTGGTCTCTGGGGTTATTCCTCCCCAAATGCAGGACCCTGCACTTGCCCTTGTTGAACTTCATGAGATTTCTCACTGCCCAGTTGTCCAGCCTGTCCAGGTCTCTCTGGATGGCAGCACCACCCTCAGAGCTATCAGCTATTCCTCCCAGTTTGGTATCTTCAGCAAACTTGCTGAGGGAGCACTCCAGCCCTTCATCCAGGTCTTTAATGAATAAGTTGGACAGGACCGGACCAAGGACTGACCCCTGGGGGACACTGCTAACTACAGGCCTCCAACTGGACTCAGTGCCACTGACTACCACTCTCTGTGCTCTGCCATCGAGCCAATTCCTAATCCATCTCCCCATCCACTCATCTATCCCACACTTCTGAACCTTGCTCAGGAGAACCTTGTGAGGGACAGTGTCAAAAGCTTTGCTCAAGTCCAGATGACATCAACTGCTCTGCCCTCATCTATCCAGCCAGCCACTCCATCATACAAGGCGATCAGGTTAGTCAAGCATGATTTCCCCTTGGTGAATCCATGCTGGCTACTCCTGAGCACCTTCTTCTCCTCCACCTGTCTGGAGACAGCAGCCAGGATGAGCTGTTCCATCACTTTCCCGGGGATGGAAGTGAGGCTCGCCGACCTGTAGTTGCCCGGGTCCTCCTCCTTGCCCTTTCTGAAGACCGGAGTGACGTTGGCTTTCTTCCAGTCCTCCGGCACCTCCCCCATTCTCCAGGACCTTCCRAAGATGATGGTGAGCGGCTCGGCTAGGACATCCGCCAGTTCCCACAACTCTCTGGAGTGCATCCGATCAGGGCCCATGGATTTGTGGGTGTCGAGTTTCCTAAGGTGCTCTCTGACCCACTCTTCCTCTACCCAAGGCAAGTCTTCCTCTCTCCAGCTTCTTCCTAGGGCCTGGGATTCTAGAGAGCTGCCCTTGGCAAACACCGAAGCAAAGGTGGCATTCAGCAACTCTGCTTTCTCTGTGGTTTTTTTTATTCAGGATGGACTCATTTTGTTCCAGCTTCACTTACTGGTAGCTAAACCAAGATGAGTCATTTTTTCCAGTTTAAAAAAAAAGGCTCTTGGTAGATTATTTTGTAAAGGCAGGGAGTTCTTTTCTGAAATTATCACATTTTACAATATGGAGGAACCCACAGCACGCAAGGTAAAATCATTCATACATGAATTGAAGATCTTTATAAAACTTTTTTGGTGAGCGGAAAAAAAATAATATCTAAAACTTGCATCTTGTTTGCAGGTAAAACAGAAAACACTCAGGAACCTGTTTTGCACAAACAGAATTCAAAGTCAGCGTGCCTCAGTTCAGCTTGTGTGAAGCTAACAGCAGAAACAGCAGATGAGGTACTTTCTTTTAGTCAGTTTTTGTACTACATTGATTTTAAWATGTGGTTTTGCATATTGCAGAATAATTTAGAGATTCATTGAARAAGACCTTTTAAAGAGGGAAAGAACCTGTGTAAAGTGTTTGGCTTTAGAACAACAAAGCTCCTTCATGCCACTAGAAGGCGGTATGGGAGTGCTCATGGAAGAGGGAAGCTCCCTCTGGAAATAATTACTGCCCAGAGATGCCATAGTGAGAAACAAACAAAAAGCAAGATAGAAAACAACATTTCTTCTCTAGAAAGCAGTAGTAAAATTAACCAAAATCTGTTATGTGACATAGACCAGATAATAATAATTGATAATTGAATTTGATGGAGGCACTTGCAGTTTTATTCACCTGCGCAATATTCACCAGTTCTAAAAGCAAGTTAACTAAGTATATGCACAGGTGCTTTCCATCTAAATTTACACTCCTCACACACCCTCCCCCTCCAAAAAAAGAGTCTAGAAATCATGTCASTGCAAGATGAGCCAAGATCCAAAGTAAGCAAGTATCTCTCTAGACCTAATGGTCATCTTTGCAGCAATCCTTTTCATAGAAGAAAAGTTGTTCTAAGATGGTATTACTGCAAGGAGTGTTTTGTGCAAGAGCATAGGAGATGGGCAGAAATTAGGTACTAGCAATGTGTTTAATCTTAATACATCCTAATAATMTTAATTTTATTGTTGTTTAAGTAACTGTTGCTGTCTTGGCGCCTAGGATCCCAAGCAGTTTCCACATCTTCCTCCACTACCAAGAACCCCTCTGTGTGCAGAACTTGCAGAAGAATTCAGGGACACTCCCTCCTCAGAAGCCTCAATTAAAAGTGGCCCAGGTGCAAAATCCAGAGGATTGCACTGTCACGGACCATTAAGGAAGTGGACCCAAAGTGTGCTCCCCTAGATAGTTATCATTTGTACCTGTGCCAAGAAAACTCCAGGGACACTTCTGCATCACGTTGGAAGAAAATAGGCACAGTAAGGGCTTTGCCTCTTCCAGTAGCTTGCTCTTTATCACAGCTTGCTATCCCAAAGACCTACTATTTTTGCCATTCACTCAAGAGATATATATGGATGTTATGGGCCCTTTTGTGATATACATTCTATTTCCCTAAGTCTTTAAAAGCTGTTGAAAGACTCTGACTGCCTCAGCAACTCGTCTGTTGCTGCTTCAGTGGGAGGTACCACATTTTTTTCTTGCAGTGAGTTTTATCAAAGCATTATTTGTGCTACAGACAATATTAACTTCCTCATGTTTCCTACTTGTTACAGTCTTACAGTAYGGACTTTATTCCATTAATTTTCTAAGCTGTTTTCTAATGCCTTAAATAAGGTGAAGGCTTTCTAAAAACTTACATCCACGTTTTTCTTTCTTGCATCTTTATTGTTACACCAGAAGGAGTTACAGGATATATGAAAGAATTAAAAATTATAATAGAAGTTTCTTCTATGTTAGTTTCTTCGAGTGACAGTAATGAACCATGAGTTTAAGCTGTTTTGAATGCTTGCAGAGGGATGGGCTCATCTTTCTTACTGTTGTTTTTAAAAATTATAGGAAGGATTCTTTAACTTTATGCTCTTTGTTAAATGGCACACGCTTCCCAAGTGTAAGTTTCAACAGATATGTTAGTTCAGACAACTTTGCTGTACCCACTCTGTAACAATTTTGAAGCTTCTAAAAACCACATAAAATTTATTAATGTTATGATAATAAAATACTTGATGCTTAAGTTCCTAACACCTATACATTTTTCCTATTTTTAACAGATATTTTATTGCAAGATTTGCAAGATTTGTTGAACTTTTCTCTCATTCTGGGTGGAATATTTTACCAAAACACAGTAAAATAACCCCAGTATATTGATTTAAGTGTTCTGAACTTCTGCCTTGCAATGTTTCTGCTTTTTAGTGTTGAAGAAGAATCTGAAAGTATTTGTGGAGGAAAAAAATGTCAGATTCATGGCTGCTATTGAGTATTCCAGTAGTTTTGGGCTTCTCTCCTTTGTTCCTGTGATTAGAAGGCAAAGGTTTTATTGGGTTTGGGAAAACTGTGTGTGGGAACTGGAGAGTTTTGTTTTGGATTAATTGTAGTACTCATCTGTACTGTTGTCATCTCAGTGCAAACCAGGAGCTTGGGCAGGAGCACATGCAGGAGTGGCTGCTCTGTTTCGAACATTACTTCTCCCGCAGCCAAGCTTCTGAAATCAGTGCTTTTACAATAACCTTTTAAAAATCACAGCTTTTTCTGCAAATAAGGAGAAAAGACCTCACCAGTAATCTACTTATCACACATGCGTACGTTACTCAACAGCTACGCTTGTGAGACTGTGCTCTTAGTCCTTCAGTAGGCTGTCACCTTGACTTACCTGCAAGATCTTTATTTAAGGATAAAAATAACCAGCTTGCGGTTCTAACACAGGCAGGAGAACTTAATTTTTCCTGTTCACATAGATACTCAACTACGTCTCATCCAACACAGCACACATACATCCCAAGCTTAAAGACAAGGTAAGACTGCTGAACGTATTGCGCTTGCTATTTCTGTTTTAACTTTATTTTCATGTACAATTTCAGAATATATAAAGCATAGAAAATGGTATATTTTAAAGGCTTATTAAGTAGAAAGAATATTCTAAAACATGTTTGTCCTACTAAAATCTAGTTCAAACTTTTTTTGCTATTTATTTTCTCTGTACACAGAATACTCAAGTCTGCGCTGTTTCAGGTGGCATCAGCTATACATTGCTGTTTGTACATTGTGGTATACGTGAATGCTCTTCCTTTTTAATTAAAAGGGACAGCATTTTTATGGTGGAAGCAAGCTGTGCACATGGATATATACATCTTTAAATAATTGCTCTATAAATGACCAAAGCAGGAAACTGAAGAAGGCTCTCTTCAAAACCAATGGCACAATAGCTTAGCTTATAATTTTATAGAACTTTCTTCTATAAAGTAGTATTTTAAATCCAAACAATTGCTTTAAAAGYTCCCTTTTTTATGTTTGAATAAAACTAGCAAAAGTCTAGTTTATAGTCCATCTACTTCCAACCTTATGCCTGCATCTAACTATTCAAAACAACTTCTGCGTGCTAACGAAACCCAGGTTTTGAGGGGATTCAGCCAAGTGTAGTAATGCTGCTCTTTAACAAGTGGGCTATTAAGAATTGAAACTGAGAAGGTTCCTTGGCTAAGAGGGAAAGTCTCTGGGGAAAAAAAGCATCCTACTAAACTGCTGAAAAAGCATTTCACTCGGGCTGATCTTTTWTTCACTTTGTTGTCCTACTTCTTTGTATAGCTAGTTATCACTCTTGATGGGCATTATTTGCTCGCAAAAGACCAAATGAACAATATTATTTATATTGGAAGCAGTTCTCATACAGTTAGCTGCCTGAACTTCTACTTTGTAAGAGACTGAGTATAAATTATTTGAARATGAATAGGTCAACCCATTAGCTGATGCAATGCCGTAGCATCAATTTAAATGGAACTACAGTATTTTGTAATAATGGATTTGTTTTACATTAAGTATAAAAGCTTATTCAAAATCTATTTACTATTCTATTGCCTGTAGTAGGGGTGCAACTGTAGTGAATGTACTGGAATAAATATATGGTTAGTGCTTTTATAATGTCACATATGTGTTTAAACATCAAAGCTGTGACTAACCAGAAAAAGCCACTTCATTCACTCTCCACACTAGTCTCCAAACTCTTAAATCACCATCAAGCAAAGCCAGTATTACACTGCTGAGCATTTAAGCCTGGTATTACAGTACATATAAAATTATTTAAAAATAAAAGTCACCAAGGCATTTTGTTTTGAAAAATTATAGTGGAAATCATAAACATAGTATTTACACCCCAATTTATGTAGGAGTGCTTAGTTCAAGTAAAATCCACAGAGGAATTTAGAATGAAATTTTTAAAGGCTGATTTTCTAGTGAGCAGACTCAAGGAGTGCTTTTTCAAAATGATACATTAGACATCAAGTTACTATATATCCAAATTTTGCTGTAGTAAATATGCAGAGTTTTTTGGCCATAAAAACAAAAAACAAATTTGATGGTGCTTCATCTCCAACTTAGAAATTTGCAGGCGCAGGCAAGGTAAGTATTTTCCCCCCAGACAGACCGTGCACAATACAAAAGTGGAGGGATCCACGAGATTCTACGGGGTATCTCTTGGCTCAGGCTATTCCAGTCCCAAGTTGTGCAGTGAAATTGCTGGTAATTTCTCCTCCCAGAGGCTCTGTACACTGAAACTAAACRTGAAAGAGGACTCGTCTGCCAGAGTACAAAAAGGAATTGTTTACTTTTGCAAGGCAAGTGGTTTCAATAAAAGCTTGATGGCACTTAGTGCACACTATAAATAGCCGAGTGCTGTTCCCCTCTTCAAACACGCACACGGAGGGCTGCTTTGGGCTTCCACAGGTGTTTTTACACTGTGATCCAGGCTTCCCTTTTTAACCCCCTCTTTATCCCATCCCAGAGGGAGAGATCAGGCACAAGAATATGGTTAATATATTGCTTAAATATTAATAACCACTTGCTTTCTTTGTAATCTAATCGAGGTCAGGAATAAACTGTTAATGTCTAGTTAAGGGGGAAACATTTATGATGAGGAAATAGGCAAAACCTAACAGCTTGCTTGTGTGCTGCTCACACCCTTGACCTAGAGATGCCAAGTGTGCCATTAGACCTGCAAACAAATGTTGTTCTGCTTCATATCAAGAACACAGTACGTTTTTAAAGAAACAATAGCTTTACTACAAAACCATGTAAATGATTATATACAAAATGATTATTGGAATTTGGTTTTGTACTGTAGTAACAGAAACAGCTGCTGACATTTATTTCCGTTTCCTTAATACTAGGTACATAACGCCACTGATCAGGGTAAAGGCAAATGCAATCCAGGCTAAGATGAAGGAATAGCCATACTGGCCTTGAGAAACTTCCACGTTGTAGTGCCTGCTCTTGTGCAGTTCTTCGTGCCTATCTGTATAAATGGAAGCTGCAATCATAACACACAGACCTGCAGGAAAAAGAAAACAGTGAAGCTTAGCAAAAAAAATRCACATAAATAATAAGTAAATAAAATATATAAAAATATGCATAGCAACTCTTCGCCGTCTCTTCTGTCAGCTGCTGCCACTTGCACCCATATCCCTTTCTGTAGGCACTCATTTTCCATAGTCTGACTAAACTGGGAGTAGTTCAGGACATTCTTTACTGGTTTTTGGGAAAGGATTTTATTTCAAGTGCTGTGGGTTTATTATTTGCAATGAAAGCAAAATAATTCTAACTATCTGGATAATAAAGACTAATACAATTATGAAAGTACCTGCCTGTGGCAATCACAAGGTTGTGCAAGAAGTTGAGAATCTAAGATCCTCTCCCTTCAAAGTTTAAAGGGCTTTACTTCTGAGCAGTGATACTATTACATATGTTTTAACTGCGTAAACAGTATAGAGTGGAACAGTTCAAATTTCAAGTAGATACGTAGGACAAGCTATGACTTCTGGAGCTCTACCACTTTTTCATGCAGCTCATTACTCTTGAAACCCTTTTTTTCCCCTCTTCCTTTTTCTACTTAAATCTAAGCCTCACTGAGGCTTAGTGTCAAAAATCACTCACATGACAGGAGCTGGATAATAGAAGTTAAGACAAATCTTTCTCCTTGTTTTAGACGGAAGAGTTGAAGAATGAAAACCAGAAATGCCACACAACAGAAAATAGTAGACAGGATCATCGTAGCCTGAACAGCCTGAATTGATTGATAATCTGTGAAAATAAAAGCAGCCTTGATTAAAAATGCAATTCTTCACCCGAGTCCCCCTGCAATGACTGCGTAGCCTGGTCTCTGGGTTCATCAGCTGCTGCCAGCAGGTGCGGACGCATTGCCTGGCATGGCGCTTTCCTGCTTCCTGGGCATTAATGCAGCCAGCTTCACAAGCTGCTTTACTTCTTCTCCCCATGTCCTCTGCTTCCATCTCTGTGCTAAGGGCAGTGCCACGACCAGGTGTCTAAGGGCTTATAAATGCAGAATGGGGAGTCATGCCTTTCACGTGGCCTGGGGACAGCTCTACCCAGTAAGATTTAACTGGACAAGACTGCAAACAGCATAAATAACATAAAGTTCCATTTTTCTCTTGACAATTAACTCCCTATAACCTGGAGCTAAAATATTCACAATTTTTTTGAGTACCAGATGCTGAAATGTAAAATCCTGCTAACTGTAGTATAGATAGGCCCTCAACCAAGTCAATGCTCAAGCAATTGTTATTTTGTAGGTATATAGCTGTTTAAATCAACTTCAATATACAGCAAGACTGAAAGCATATCATAAATGTATCAGTTCAAAAGAAAACATTTTTATTTTAYTTATTTTGCTAAAGCAGGACAGATTAGACTATCTGTGTGCTGTTGTGATCTCTTTGTGAAAACTGTAGTTTATGTTCTGACTTCCTTTCCCCTCTCCCATTCCTGTATGTGTTTTAGGTTCAACTTCTGAAGTTAAACTTTAATTCTGACAGTCATATTCTATGACTTTAGAGCCCTTGGCAAATGACTTCACTGTTTTTATCTGGTTTAATTTTTGAGAGTTCTCTAGAACTCTTCTTTGCTAGTTGCTTGTTTAATTCTTTTCTACAGTGCTTTGAGGGCACTTGGTTGCCCTTTCTGTTTTCCTTATATAGAAACTTTTGGAACAGTTTGCTTGTCCAAAATGAAAAGTCAGTATTAAAGGGTTTAGAAGGCTTGAGTATTTAAAGTGTACAATTTTTCTGAAGAAGCTTTATAGTTTATGATTTTCTGATGCCACTGCACCTGCAAAATTCAGCAGTGATTTCACACCATTTCCTGCTATCGGGACCAAGACACTCACCGTTGAATTCGTCGGTAATAGCTGTACAGGTGCTAGTATTGGTGTCACACATTCTCCACACATCTGTAGAAAAATTATCTCCTACCCACCAGGCCTGCAAAAGAAAAGCSAAGGAATCTGATAGGAAAATAAAAAACAGAAACAAAACCCTGCTGGTTGGATGTATCAACTGGAATAAACTTCTGTTCATTTTTGCTACTTAACTTTCCAAACAAGATTTCAGATCTAATGGATTTAGAAGAAATTCTGACAGGTGAGACCTTAAGGAAAAGAGCAGAGCGAAGGGGATACTCTCCCATGTCTTGGACTGAGTGACAAACCAGAGGCCTCAGGGATTAGAAAACACTTTGTGTTCCCCAGGCAGAACAGTTCCTTGCCACTGCTTGAGATTGGGATTTGGGAATCAAYGGGCAAAGGGATGATACTAGGGGCCTTTCTGAATGTGTCCTGGGAACTCTGCAGTTGACTCATTGAACTGACCAGGAATCTGCAGCATCAGTTGGTATCTGTTCAGACCTAAGTAAGTTAAAGCAAAGCACCTCATAAAAGCTTGAACTTTCTGTATTTATTAATGTTTTGACGGGCATTTTTGTGTTAGGCTTACATGAAGTAAAAAAGGACAAGAAGCAATAATCTTAACCCAGAASAACAAGGGATTTTCCACTGTCTGGACAGTAATTTTGGATGTTCAGTGAACGCTGAATACTTAAGGCAACTAAATAAAATCTGCTTTGTTCTGCTGCCGATTCCAGGGTACTGTTCCTAGCAACCTACTTGGAAAATGCAACTCTTATTTTTTAACTTGTGGGAAACATCAGGGTAATATAACTGTGAAAGAGCAGCTTTGACTATAAATTTTCTAGTTCCTGACATTAAATGAATCAATCTCAGCTTTTAAAACCCAATCATACTCTCAGTGTGCAAGTGCAGGGTTACACAACAGCAGCACACTGGAAGTGGCTCGTTAACATCCCACTGCGATCCTGCTATTTTGATGTTTTAACTTTGAACACAAAATGGTCCCATAGTGACTGAAGAGATTTTTATGGTATCAGCCCTGCAAATGCTGCAAGAACTCCACACAAGTGGTATTTCCTCAGGAAATCCACTCCAGTTACAAAAGCCAACCGGGCCTTTGTTCTGACTTGAGTTGGAAAAACACAATTTTAAAATATGAATTCTGATAGCATCTGCTACTGGAAAAGGCATTCAAGAACCCTCACAGTTTTCTGTGCACCTTTTCAACAGTCCTGTAATTATGACATTAGGGGTATGAGTTGCAATACCACTGGAATATCATGTTTAAGAGAAATCATTACTTTCCAGGATGAACTAAGCTATTCATTTGGATTTTGYAATCAGAGTCCAATATATTTTTTTTCAACTTTAGGTGCTGCATAATTCCCTCAGCATGATATTCATGAATATATAAAACCTCTGAAGACCATAAAATCTAACCAAAGGTAACCACCTTCTATTTTAAGTTTGTAAGTTTTAAAAAATAACTAATGACACAGAGGACAAGTTGTGTATTTTTGCAGTTTTATTTGTATGTAGAAGGTCTGAACTTAGAATAATTTGCCCTTCCACTGTCCTAGCTCCCTAAATATTCAAATGGAACAGGTTAAAACAACCTGCCTTTAGTGCTCAATTAATGACCTGCTTCAATGCAACAAATCTACCAGCTGACTGCAAGATAACATCTAAGTTTGCAATTTTGCAATAAAGAGGTCTGGGTATTATATCATTTCGTTTAAAGCACAGCCTTGGAAAAGTGTATGGGATTTGAACCAGCTTCACTGAATATGGTAAAATACTTCCAGTACAGATTTTCTTTTAATCCTAAAAGCCTGAGCACACACATTCTTAGAGAAAGAAACGCTACAATGCGCAGTTAAGATGAGCACGATCMGGATAGGCAGGCAGTTTCAGAAAGRGGAAGATATGAGGAGCTAAACATAAATTTTGGAAGATAAATTCTTCCTGGAAACAAAGAAAAGGTAATCAGAAAAGCAAAGTAATTCTAAAAAATTGTGGAGAAATTACTTCAAGTAAACGGAAATAGTTCTTCGTGTCTCTCTCAGAATTCCATTAAGCATCTTGAACAGTCACGTCTACAGAAAATGTGTCTTGGCTGGTGCATAAATCATGAGCTATCTGACTTCATATGTATGACATAAGAGGGTAAGAGGTTTTTCCCCCTTTCCCTCAGATCTAGCTGAACCAAGAGCTGTAGCTCCAGCCCCCAAGCACGGCAGTATCTGCAATCACCTTCGCCAGCTGAGAAGCAACCAGGAGGAAGATGAGCTGCACAACACAGACTCGCACGTGAGCCCGAATGCAAGCGGAGCACTCACKTGTATTGTCTCATCCGGCTAATGCAGCAATGTGAATGTTCAGGGTAGGTCTTTTTTTGTTTGTTTTACCAAAAAAAAAAAAAAAAACAACCAACAAGCAGACTGCTGTGGTTAACAATGTTAAATGCTTTCAATAAGCAAGACAACTAAAGAAAGAAAGAAACACTACTGCAGGCATGACATTATAAACACAACTAAGAGGGCAAGTACTTATTTCATATACACTTTGGGACACTTTGGTTTTGCATGGCTTGTGAGAAGTGGGGGATTTGACGAAGGTACAGAAAAAGATACAACATAGGCCATGTAAGCTTGTTGGTCTGTTTTAAGTGGTTTTGAAGCAAAGCTGCCAGCTCTATTTTTAATCACATAATATTAAACRTTAAAAAATGACTTTAGGACTAGACTTTTTTTTCCTTAGATATTGCATATTCAAAACGTAATACATTTTTTTTCTGATAATAAACTATTCGGATTTCTAATGTTCAATATATACCCAGAAAATAATCTGAAATGCAGTACRACAAAACTGTATAAAGCTTCTGACCTGGGTGCCCTAGGGACAAGCAGGAGGAATCCAACTTACATTGTCAATAGTTGAGATGAACAGCAGCGCTGCTGAGGTTATATGAAACACAATAATGAAAGCCAGAAGAATCAGCATCCTTGATGTGAGGAGGCGTTAGTCTGAGACAAATCTGTTAAAAAGAAGAGCATATAGGATCAGGATTTACAAGCGCTAACTRTTGTAATGCCACCTTGGCAGCAAGGTCACCCTGGGTGTAATTCAGAGCAAGGTGCTTGGGAGGATCCGCAGTGTTGGGTGTATTTTGACTTCACAGCACTCTCTTTCCACAGGGAGAAGGATCACACGTGAGGCAGAATACACATCAGCATGACAGCTTTTAGCTATGCATGGTAAGTAACCCGAGTTATTGGCGTTAAAATGAACCTTCACCCAAAAGCCAAGGCGAGAGGTGCCCTTTGCAGCCAGGTGGCCGCAGTGCTGCTCACTGCAGTGTTACACACAGAGAAGGGTCTCTRTGAGCTTCCTCAGCAACCAGGTCCAATGCACTTCCCTGCTGACGTTTAGGGAAGTACTTTTTAAATCAGAGCCTCATTTGCTTGTGTGCTACTGGATTTGGGGAKATCTTGTTTCAACAATGCTTTCAAAGTGGGAAGAAATGCAGACTGCAAGGTTCCTGGTAGAACAAAATTAAGTATAATATCCTAGATCTAGGCACGGCTATGATGTGCCTTATGTTTCATATAGCTTGTCCTTAGGAATAGCACAGCACAAAAGTTTTAGCCTTTACTAAGCAACTTAAGGCTATCGTTTTCTTCAATACGTTGCTCTGACAACTAGGGTTGAATAAACTAGGGAGTTGTGTAACACTCCAGTGAGTTATTTTCAGTCCCTTGATGCTCTTTCCAGTCCAGATATTATCTTTTCACCTTACCTAGCTTACCTGAGAGCATTTCATGTCTCATCTGAAAAAATGTTATGTAGAAAGGAAGTTGCTGGGTGCAGACTCACCGACTTAAATAGGATTGAATCTCGATCCCCAGAAAATCTATGGGCCCGTAACAAGCACTTTAGGGATAATTACTATTAAAAACATACTGAAACGTGCAATTTTCGGTATATCCATTATCATCTTCTTTTTCTTGTATAAAAATACTTGCCAATTAACGTAAGCTATATTCTACAAGGACCAATATTTTCTTTGGATTAAATGTGTACCATTCTTTAGTATTGTCTGTGTGTTACCAATGGCTTCTCCACTTTCCTACCTTTAATAGTATTCTCTATCAAATGGACCTATTCATGGAACAGAACAAGCACGTGGAAGAGGTTGCTATATATATTTTTTTTTAAAGACCATATATATATATTTTTTCCAGTCCAGCCTTCTCTCTGTTACTGCTCTTTGCCAGACTGATGAACTACACATACTGTTAAGTAATGCAGATGGAGAATCCAACCAAATAAAAGGATTACTTTGACAGCATTTTTAAAGAGAATAGCAGCACCACTGGCATTCTCATCGTTCTAAAATACAATTACACTGCAGAACTTTAACAAAAAGATAAAAGCCAGCATATAAACATGCTGAATAGAGAAGAGACGTTCCAGACAGCCTTTATGCCTACACAGGAGCGCAGCATTTCGCTACTGCTATACAGCATCATAATAAGGAHAAAGCCAAACAACATAAAATTACATTACAGAAAATATAAATTAATCTGAAAAACCTTTCTCTGTACCTACTTGGAGTGATCATATTGGAAAGGTAAGTTGAAAAAAAAGGATGGCAACAACTCGGTGTTTATTCCTTCCCAATTCTCACTGTTGAGCTGTGCCTTTCCAGGCACAACGACCAGAAGCAGCAGTTTCCTCCAAAGAGCTGATGCTGCCACATGACTCAAGGGCCTCTGAACCCTGCGCTCATCATCTGCTTCTATAAATGTCACTCGTGGCTGACTACTGAGCCGTTTTTGAATGAAAGGAAGGAAGAAGGAAAGGAAGATATTTTGTGGTCTTGTGCAACGCCACAGGCAGATACTTTCACCGCGGATTGCCGCAGCCTCCACGCAGCACCGTCCTCTGCAGCGCCGGGGCTGCGGCCTCGCCGCTGGCAGCGCAGCCGGCTGAGCAGGCGTGAACGCTGCAGTCCTCGGCCATATAAGGAGAGAGAATTAAACCGGCCCGGGATGATTTTCAGGATAACAGTATGATTTTGTTTTATTAAACAAGGCATCACGGAGTGAGACAGGCAAAAAAAAAAAAAAAAAAAAGTAACCTAATTGAAACCAATCTTGCAAAATTAAGATTTGCCAGCCCAGAAAAATCTGTTTAATCCTCAGTCAAGTGAATGTTTTTGTTTAAATGCCTTTGGGCATAAAAAACACTTTAAAAAGCACGATAAACACGTATGGGCTATGAGAAGATACTGTAGGTTTTACCTAAATACAGTCAGGATTAGATGAAATGTTTTGTTCTGTGTTGATGAGAATTTATTGAAGTCTTAATACAACTAATTTTCTATGATCTCAGGTTATGAGCCTTTATTTCAAGTTAAATGTTTTAAGACTGTGAGAAAGTAAAATAGAGCAGTGGGAATCACTAGGGAAAGACAACCACCTCCTGGTACCCAACTGTCACACCCGAGCGCGGCTGGGATCCTGGAAGGACACCAAAAGATCCATGGGCATGTCGCCATCCTGGTGACTTTGTCCTTGGAGAGCAAGAGGAGCCCCTTGYCCAGCAGGAAGGCCCAGGAGGCGGGCGTCTCCCGGCTGCGCTCTGCAAAACCCAGCATGGGAAGCAGAAAGCGGCTCCGTGCTCCCAAAGCGGGGCCAGGACGACGAAGTTCCTGCGGGAGCCGCCTGCCCTGCGGCGGCTGCAGCTTCACCCCAGCAGCGCGGTGGGCTCCTTCAGCCTCGGCCTCCGCCTTGCCAGGGCCTCCGCGAGCAGCTCCCCACCTGCGACAGGCATCTCCCTGCCCCTCCGCGAGCACGTAAAGGACATGAGCGTGTTTGCACACAGAGAATTTCTGAGCACAACACCCAGATTTCTTCATGTTTGAGTTATTAGTAAGCCAAGCCCTTGGTAGCAGCCTGTTTTGCAGGGCAGCTGCAGCCCTGTGCGCTGGGTCCCTCGGTAGCTGCTCCTCGAGAGCTCTGCTCAGGCTGGTGCTGGCTGCAGCTCCCCGCTCTGCTCCGTGTCACAACCTGGCTCTCAAAACAGGGGCTCCGGCAAGAGCAAATAAGCTGGCACTGCAGCTCACCTGCCTGGCTGATGCTGCCAATGTGTTTGCTAGTAAGAACAAGAATATATTTTGGCACTCTAATATTGCACACTGTGGCAAGTAAGCCAGAATCTACAAACAACTCTCCTAAAAAAATGCATAGAAATCATCAGGCTTTTCAAATAAAACCKAGGTATGAATGTGAAGAGATTTTAACATTTATTTCTTTTTATATTATTTATATTGCAGATTTGGAACTACTGCCCTCATTATCACCCTCATTATCACCAGTATGAAAACGTTTACGAGGATTGCTCAACTCTTGTTTTAGGCTCCATAGGTAAGTACATTGGTACTGGCCAAGCAAACCTTCCTGAGCAAAGTCATGTTTTATGCTCTGTCATTGGAACCAACCAACACACACTATGCTCTCAAGTCAAGGTATTTATATATATGTATTTTAAGTAGACTGCCATTAAGCATGCATGGAGACTGCAACAATACAAGAGATATTGTCCGTCTTTTCCCAATTAGTTTGAGTATGCCAAAAAAAATCAAAACGACTTTATGGGACCTGCTACAGATGTCTTTGTAGAAGCAATGGTGCCACTTGTTTCAAAAGTGCATGTCGAAAGGCAAGAGACAACAGTCCCAAGTTACAGCAAGGAATATTCCAGTTGTGAAAACTGTTTTCCTTATTGCTAATGAGCGTGGGTAAGCACTGCACTGGGGCCCACGAGGCTGTGGAAACTCCAGTCTTGAACATTTTCAAAATTGACTGATGCCCAGGGCATCCTGAGCTAACTCCCTGCTTAAARCAGGATATGAAACCTTCTGTCTTTCCCAGTGAATCTGCAGCTATTTCAGGAACTGCCCTATACCAACCTCCAAAAAAGCACTGGGAAAAAAGATCATTAATAAAATTGTTCTTATTTCACCACACAACATATTTAAACAAAAAAAAAAAAAAAAAAAAAAAAGGAAGAGCACTGGAGCTCAGAATGAATTCTTCAGTTGCAAGCCTCAGTATTTAATAGCACTTTACAAAGTGTGTTGCAAGACAGAACCGCAAACATAGAACTGAGCTAACATGCCCGCTCCCCCTGAAGTCAGACATAACGAGCTATTCGTTAAGCTAGGAGCGCACCCACCTAGACTGTGGTAATAAGGTTTCCTACGGATGCTGTAAGTTGCTGGACACTTGCATAAAACAGGCTGAAAACAGAAGGCCAGTTACATTAACAAGCGYTTTTCCAAATAGTACAAGAAAGTTGTTTCTGGATATTACTATATTGCCGCCCCATTTCGTATAGGGAGGAAAAGTACAGCGCTCACTCAYACTTATCTTTAACCTTTCCAGGAACTGAGCCTATTGGCAGCAATAATTTGCACTTTTGTGGTTAAAGCCTGACATGCTGTACAAGACGTGGCCAAGAGGGACCCCTGCCATTACCTTCAGGCCTGGCGCAGAGGTAAGCATCTTTTACAAGTAAAAGTAAAGTAAAACCGTGTAATAATCAGGGAGCTACAGACTGAAAAAAACAAGTATCCAGTCCAGGGCTCCCAAGTCATGGCAGAAATGTCTTGCCTCTCTATACCAAAATTGCAATGATACATTATGCCACACACCTTTCCACTTTACCCAAGGTAAATAAACAAGCCAGCTTCGGTCTATCTGTAAGACAAAATCTTTTTTAATGCCCAGTAGTTCAAACAAACAAACAGAACTGTTTGAAATCTCTCTGTTGTTCAGTACAGCAAKCAAGCAAAAAGGAAAACTCTGTCCTTGACAGTTCTTAGCAACTTCTTCACACTATTTTCCAGTCTAGCTGGGATCTCCATGATCCAAGTTCTCACTTCTTCCTAAGGGGTTGTGTTCTGCTGTCCATTTGTTTTGCACCTTGGTGCATACTCGATTCTTGCAAGCAAAGCAGCACGAGCACAGTACAGGATGTTCATCCCGTGCTCGCACACTCTGAGAAGACTGCAGTGGCTCCTACCTCCTCGTGAGCTGTTCCTAAGTCCACTCTTTTTATCATCTCTGCCTCAACGTAGACAGTCTCACTCAGCACAGACACTCCTGGCACATAACCCCGAAACCCCACGAGGACCTGGCAAAATGCTGCCTGCTTTGCACACACCAGGTCACCCACCCCAAGGGTGCTACACCTAAGGAGACACCCCGAGGCCGGGGCGAGGATCCTGCCCAGCAAGCTGCATACCTGCAGTTTCTGCACACGGGTCTGGCACGGCAGCGAGAACAGCAGGTCTGCGGGCCACCAGCGAGGATYTGATTCAGCTGAACTTCCTTGAGATCACTGGCGTGGAGTTGAATCACAGCAAGCCTTTGTAATTATCAATTCCTCTGCCCTTCAGTGCTGTAATTAAGACAACATATCTGAAGTTAGAAGAAAAAGCTTGTATGTTGGTGGCATGGGAAGTCTGTCATCTTGTGATACATCACAAGATGTTTGTATTTATATGATAATCACTTCACTTTACTCTGGGCTCTTGTGCCACATCTCATGGTGTCTTATGACATCGCACAGAGTCAGCTCATGTTTTGCCTGCACTGTTGTCCCTAAACTTGCATAAAATATCCTGGTTTGTAAGGAACAGAATGATACTGTTAAGCTGCTTTTTTTTTTTTTTTTATCAGATATGAAGAGTTCTGTTTTTCTTCTTGAACGAGTCTCAGAAATGGAAACAAAACTGAAATAGGTTGAGACAGCAGAGCTTTTCCCAAACTAGCCACAACTTTGAGGAGTTCACCTAAGGCCTAAATATCAAACAACATAAAGGGCAAGAAAATCAGGAAATTTAACACCAACAGAATAATTACACTAGTTGAAACAACTCACTTCAGTTTCATTATTCCTCTTCCCAAGTTAATTCAAGAATTGGGAACACCAATATTACAGGAAATAAATTACTGACTGACATTCCTTAAAATGAGGCAGACAATACCAAGACTCTCACGCTTTCTTTCTACGCTTTTCAATTTTCTCATAAACTGACTAGCATAGAAACCTGGCCATCGTGGTGTGTTTTTTGTGCTTGATTATCTGCTGATGAGCACTTTTGGCAGTTCCTTCTTTCTTTGTTCTGCGGGAGGCTACTCTAGATTCCTGCAGTCATCTTTCCTCCCCCTCYACCGCTCTTATCTGCTTGTCAACTGGATATATCAGTTTTAGTGGCACCTCGCCAGCTGTTCTTTCATTAAGTGATACTGAATCACAACTTCCTTGAGATGCCTGCAGCGCTTCACACCGCTGGTATCATCTCATTCTGGTTAATTCTTCTCGTACCAGTCACACTTCTATTTTCAGTCCTTAATGGCTTGCAAAACGCTAGCGCACATGACTGCATCTGTGTTGCCCTGGCCTCACTCAGGGGCTGTGGCATCTGTACATTAATCCCTCCTTTGAGTAATTTCAATTGGATCATCTGCCTGTTGTGTTTGTTGCTGCAGAGTTAACCAGGGCAACTAGCACATGATCGAGCTCTGCCAGAGTGGCCCGAGAGGCACCCAACACAGCAGCCCTCAGTCACTCCGTCCCTGGCGTTTCTGCAAGGCCAATGTGGGCATTTTCCAGGGCTCCTTAAGCTGTGACACATTTGCATTCTTCCCTAGGAGACTCCTACACGCAGAGAGAAGTGTGGAAAAGCATAAACACATTCTCATGATTCCTTTCTTTCTTTCTTTTCTGTTCTTTCTGCTCTTTCTTTCTTTCTTTCTTTCTTTCTTTCTTTCTTTCTTTCTTTCTTTCTTTCTTT